TGAGGAAATACATCAACTTCACGCTGTGGATCGCCAGATCGGCTTTCACCATGGACGAAGCGGAGTCCAGCCTGGGGTCGTCACATGTGGTTGCCGCAAGCCTGCCGGATGCTCCTTCGTCGAATCCGGCTTCCGCGTCGTTCTCAAGCCCGCCCGCCGCCGCTCACTCAAGCCGGCCTCCGCTTACTCTAGGCCGCCGGCCGCCGCTCACTCAAGCCTGCCGCCCTCTCCGCTTACTCTAGGCCTCCGGCCTCCGCTCACTCTAGCTCAACGTGTGTTTCATTGTGAAAGAGAAACTACTTGGTTTGGCCTTCCAAAAGAGGACATGACTATGAATCAGTGGTTAAGTTGTATTTACAACACTGTTCCAGAACAGTTCAACCCAAATATTCAGATGTGTCCAGCGCATTTCATGGAGGACTGTTTCCTGATCCTGGTAGAGTAGACTACAATGCCGGCTGTTCTGACTCACAGACTGTAAGTAAATTGTTTATATTTAAAGAATTTGCCACTGACAATTCAAACGCAGAGTTTTGAGCAGTGTAGAGTAGCACTTGCTGTTTGTCATTTCTCCGATCACAAATGCAGACATGGTTTTATGTTTATGCAGCGCGATGCAACGCTAAAAAAGATGCAACAAATGCACACTGCATGCAACAAATGCCTCGTTTATAATGGGTTTTAATGTTTTTGTCTCGTTGCTCTGGCCGGACAGGGCATCACAATATGGTAAAGGGCGTAACATTTCCGTCACACGCTTGAGATATTCAGCCAATCACAATGCAATGGATAGCTGGCCAATCAGAGTACACCTCGCTTTTCAGACCAATGAGCTTTGTAAAAAGCTACATGTTTCAGAAAGGCGGGGCATAGAGGAGAAACAATAATGTACAGTATGTGGAAATGAATGTGTTTTTTTAACCTTAAACTGCATAAACACATTTCATTACACCAAATACACAAAATGTTATTTTTAGCAACATCACATGACCCCTTTAAGCTACAAGCTACAGTTTGAAATTAGCTTTCCCAACACTGCACTGCCATATGGCTAGTTCATCAGTGTGAATATGCAAATTCATCCCACCTTATTATATGGACCAACATTTTTAGTAAATGTAAAATTATAAAATAACAGTGATGATAAAATGTCAACAACAGTTAACAACTACTCTTTAAAAGCAGCTTGCTCATTTGATGCCAACATGAGCATCATCCATGCAATTCATAAGTAGCCTGTAAGCCTAATTTTTCCAGTGACCTGAGTTAAAGGAGGTTATAGTCAACAAACAATATTTATAGTAACAGGCTAACATATTCGTTTGTAATTAAAGCTTTATTAGCTCTTGCTACTGCTGTTCTTGGGGTTACATATATCAGAGGTCACAGGCAAGGATCTACAATGTAATTTGACTGATCTTGAGAGAAAAACTGAGTTGTTTTTCAATGTGTAGATGTGGCATGTGGTTGAGAACATGCCCGTGACAAGCCCCTGTCTCCCAATGTACATCTGCACAGACAGCACTCAGTTAGGCCAAACTGATTGCACTGGCATTGACTGCAAACTATTCAATTTAGCCCTGATCCCATTTAAGCTTAAGGTGCTCAATCCGAACTTCCTTTGTAGAGGACCTTGATATTGAATTTTCAGCCTGGGATACAATATTGAACCCTTTTAACCTTCTTCCTTTCCTGTGAATACTAATTCAATGGTTTCAGGTTATAACATCCACATTTTTATGTTTGACATGTAACAGTTTTGGTGGATCAGAACATGTCTTGGGAGAAACCGTACTCATCCCGTATTACAGCCCCACAGTTTAGAATTATTCAAAAGAACATTGTGGGGCTAAATGATAAGGGATATGGGGCGATGCCAGTGGTGGAGCAGATGCTTGCGAGCTATCTCTCCCCATCCTCAGCATCGTCCCTGAAGGCCCCGAAGCTTCCCACGAGGCCTGTTAGGCTTACATCGAGTCTGGTTTGGAAAGTTTATACGGCGGTAGGTCAGGCTGGCGCATGTTTGCACACCATGGCGGTGTTACAAGCATACCAGGCTGACCTCCTCGGGTGGGGCTGCTGAACGGGAGCAGCCCAAGCCATCAAGCTCCTCATATCGCCAGTCTCAAAAACAGAGCATCGCAACCCGCACCCCTCCGAAAGAAAGATTGGAGGTCGGGGCGATGCTCTCAGTCGGCGTCTTCTAGACCGAAAACAGATCTGCGGACCATTATTTTGTCTAAGAGGACCTCGGCTAAATGGTCCCTGAGGGCAGCCCACCTGGGGAGGAAAGGATAACGCCTCAGTATATGGTGCCCAATCCTCCTCAGTGCCCTCACAGAGGGTTATTGATACCCCTGCCACCCTCTGTGCTTCAGGGCTCAGTGAGTTCCGATGAGTGAAATTCCCAGCTGCCGCCTGGCAACGGTACGGCACGGGAGAGCTCGCCCCCTCAAGTGAGGGTGCTACAGCAGTCAGGTCGGTCGTTCCCTGCCAGTCATCCGCTTCAGGGCACCGAACTGGCTCGTCTAATAATACCAGAGGCCAGCCTCGAGAGGCTGGTTCCCTTAGTAGATTTTCTGGTAGCATGGAAACTTCTACCAAATATCTCAAAATGTGTCCTGCAGATTGTAAAGAAAGGTTACAGAATCCAGTTCGGTTCTTGTCCGCCTCATTTCAACAGGGTCATCCCCACACTAGTGGGCCCCGAGCAGGCTGTGGTAATGGAACAAGAAGTAGATACTCTCTTGAATAAGGGGGCCATAGAACGTGTTCCTCCTCTGCATCCGGGTTCTACAGCCGTTACTTCATCGTTCCGAAGAAGGATGGGGGCTTGCGTCCGATCTTAGATCTCGGTCTTCTGAACCGAAGCCGTTTGACAGCGTTTTGACAGCATCCGTATATTCAATTATATCGACGATTGGTTAATACTAGCTCAATCGGAGCAGATGGCGGCTCGGCATTGAGGTATACGTGGCGGCCTTAGCTACTTACCACGCCCTCTGGGTGGTCAATCATTGGGAAGACACCCACTTATCACTGGTTTCCTCCGTGGCACCCTGAGGCGGATCAGATCAGCTTTTGTTTGTTTGTTTTGGTCCGCCGAGGAAGGGATCTCTGGCGACCAAGCAGACTATGAGTAGGTGGGTGGTCGATGCTATCTCACTAGCTTACGAGTCCTCTGGCCTCCCGTTGCCTATGGAGGTTAGAGCGCACTCGACCAGGAGTATGGCGGCCTCCAAGGCTTTCAGCTTGGGTGTGGCCTTGCAGGACATTTGTGCTGCGGCGGGCAATTTTGTCCGCTTTTACAATTTAGACCTGGCATCTACCCCAGGTTCCCAAGTTCTCTCTTCGTGATGTGCTCATAAGATACACACACAGGCAGGAACTTGGTAGTATGGCACAGTGGGTATTCTCGTTCCCAAAGCGAATCTCGACGCAGCTTGAATTCCTGAAGGGGAACGTCTCTAGGTTACGTATGTAACCATGGTTACCCGAGGGAACGAGACGCTGCGTCTCTTTGCCATACTCCCTGCATCCCTGCAGGCGCTACTTCATCGAAGCTGGTTTGCACTCTGCTGGATGTGCTTTTATACTTTCTGGTGCTTACGTCACCCCGCTCGTGACGTGTCGCTGCTCTATTGGACTGATTTGACACGTGCTTCAGAACGCGGTCACGCAAGGGCGTTCGCAAAGCGAATCTCGACACAGCGTCTCATTCCCTAGGGGAACCATGGTTACATACGTAACCTAGAGATGTTAATTCCTATGAAAGTTGCACAAATTACCTCTGGAGAGCATCTCACATTCTTTGCTGCTATTGCAAATTCTGTACATTTAGTGTACATCTGAATGTACAAAAAAATATATATGTATGTATGTATGAATATACAAAAGTTGCATTCCAATGCACTGCAACAAAAAATTATTCATTATTATATTTTTATCTTGTTATATGTAACCACTTCTTGCAGTCTCCATTGCAACATCTGGTTGCTCAACTCATGAACCATGCTATGTGGTACGTATAATATTTAGTTTTAAGCAACTCAGAGCTTGTCATGAAATCTCACATTCTTTGCTGCTATTGCAAATCCATGGCAATCAACATCTGTACATTTAGTGTACATCTGAATGTACAAAAAATATATATGTATGTATGTATGAATATACAAAAGTTGCATTCCAATGCACTGCAACAAAAAATTATTCATTCTGTACATTTAGTGTACATCTGAATGTACAAAAAAATATATATGTATGTATGTATGAATATACAAAAGTTGCATTCCAATGCACTGCAACAAAAAATTATTCATTATTATATTTTTATCTTGTTATATGTAACCACTTCTTGCAGTCTCCATTGCAACATCTGGTTGCTCAACTCATGAACCATGCTATGTGGTACGTATAATATTTAGTTTTAAGCAACTCAGAGCTTGTCATGAACAAAGAAGGGAAGATGAAAGAATAACTACAAGCTCTAGTTCAAGCCGTTGCACACACCCACAGTTTTGTTCCCAAACTATTCTCAATACCTTTGACCCTAAACATCAGCTCTGAGAATCAATATCATCTTACCTTTCCAACATACTGCGGATCAGATCCCATGTATTCCTCCAGAACAAAGAACTGGTTCCACACCCATCCTCTCTTGACTCTGTGAACTCCCATCATGCCATGTTTCCTATGTGCCATCATGTTCCTGTACTGCTCCTTCCCCAACCTGCTCTGGGATGAAGAGTGGAGGGGAGAAACGAAGCTTTTGTCTAAGAGGCACCAGAGGAACAGCAGCAGGCAGTTCCCCATGAGCATTGGAACAACCTTTAGGTGACGGCAAAGGAGCAATGAATCCAGTATGAAGAACTCCACAAAGCCTCGGCGACACGGAACAACTAACATCCATGGAATTCCTGGGGTGCTTAAAATTTTAGTGAACCACCTGCAGGAGAAAAGAAGTAATGGCACTTAAAAATCAATGAGATTATGAGGATTTGCAGAGGTGTCTGTGTATCATGTTGGCATGCAATGAAAGCAAAAGACAACCACACTGTCTGTTATGTTTTCATCTTTGCAAAGTAAATCTTTGTCTGTTCAGCTATAATTTAATCTCACTTGAAGGGCTTTACAAATACTGAACTAACTCAAGTTCATTTAGCACATTTAGCACTGGGAGGTTTGAGAAACAAACATGTAAAAACTACTGCAAGAACGAGGCAGTTTGGCAAGAGTTGAACAACTGTTGGCAGACCACCAGGGGAGTGGTGGATGTGCAACTCTGTGCTCGTTTTCAGTCAATTAGTCTTGAAAATGAGGTGGTCCCAATTGAATAAGAGGGTTGTTTCTGACCTAGCAACAAATGTGGTATGTCACAGGAAGCAAAAGCCAGTCCAGATGCTTAGGGTCACAAATCAGACAACTTTCCTCTTAATTACCCTCTAAATGGAGAGAACCTGAACAATTATGTTCAAGAGGACTATTCATCACTGTTGTACCAATTGTTATGAGAATTATGGTGGTATAACAACCAAAAGCTTTAACATTTTGACTGTGTAGCAGATGGAATTATTTTATGTTAATTAATATAATATTATGACTGGAGGTAAGTAATGAAGCCATGTTAGGCAAAGACTTTGACAATCTTCTTTAAACAATATAGAATATTCCCAACTGGTTCTAAAGTGACTGGGTGAATGTGTTAAAATCAGTGAATCAGTAAGAGGCTGGAGTACAAGTAGCAAAGCTTATTTATTGCTGTACTATAAATACACAACAGAATCATTCACAAAAATTAAGTACACAAGACGCATGTGAGACAGACTATATATATATATATATAAATCACTGGTGTACATACAGTATAAATCTTGTATAAGGGTTATGGGAAATGATACAACACTTCTACCACCACATGCTTAAAATAAAGCCACAATTAAATGCTGGTTTTTACTTGCTCTTTCTGCAGGTTATTACACTAGTAGTTACATTACACTAGTAGACAGCGACAAGTAAACCTCTTTACAAGTCAATTAGTTGCTCTAGAGATTAATTCAAAAACATTGAATTTATACATAAATGAAATGACTGTCATTCAATCATTCCCTCAAACACTGATTCATTTAGGAATTAAACAAGTGACTAGTTACATTTGGGAATAGCATACTACCATATTAGGCTTACCATTTCTGGAATATTTAGATAAGCCTACAATATAAATACTATATATTATGCTATATGCAATTTTGAACACAGCAACTGTCTTTATGTAAATCGTTAAAGCATCACCTCAACCACTTCTTTCAAAAACATGAATTAATTTAGGGCCAAAATACATTAATATCATTATGAGTGAGTCATTGAATCATTTGCTCAACTGAGTCATTCAAAACATTGATTCATTTAGAATTCCACTGCTGTGTTGCTCGGAGCAATGGTTGGTTCTGCTGTGACAATATTGACTAAAAATTTATTTTCTCAATATAAAGTTCTTGATTATTCAGCTGTTGTATAAAAGCAATATTACTTCAATGGGGAATCATCCTCTGGCATTATTATGAATGTACATATGCTAAATATTATCTAGTTACATACACTGAACAAAATTATAAACTTTTGTTTTTGCCCCCATTTTTCATGAGCTGAACTCAAAGATCTAAGACTTTTTCTATCTATGCGAAGGAGATGTGTTGCACTGCGTGAGGCAAATGGTTGTCACATTGGATACTGACTGCTTTTCGGACCTCCCCGGACCCCCCAATACAGTAAAACTGCACATTTTGGAGTGACCTTTTATTGTGGCCAGCCTAAGGCACACCTGTGCAATAATCATGCTGTCTAATCAGTATCTTGATATGCCACACCTGTGAGGTGGATGGATTATCTCGGCAAAGGAGAAGTGCTCACTAACAGATTTAGACAGATTTGTGAACAATATTTGAGAGAAATAGGCCTTTTGTGTACATATAAAAAGTATTAGATAGTTGAGTTCAGCTCATGAAAAATGGGGGCAAAAACAAAAGTGTTGCGTTTATAATTTTGTTCAGTGTATATAATAAGTCATATGTTCATTAAATAAATTAATTGATTAGACTCTTCTTTATATTAGTAAAGCAATATTTGAACTGTAAAGATCATGATTAGTTTGCCAAATTCAGATCAGTAGGACACAGTCAAAAAAAACAAAACAAAACAAATTTAAAGAAGCACACTGCAGTGATTTCACAACGCTGGCAAGGGAAGGACAAAATAAAACAATATTTTCCCACATTCTCACGGGACTAATTTCCTCCTGCCCTCTCTAAACCTTATGTCATACCTGATATAGTACATACTGTGCCCCAACTTACTGCAATATATTGGTTTAATATTTCTACAACATGCACGAAAATGACAGCATGGGGCATGAAGTATGTTTTAGTAACAAGTGATTTTATGCTGCAACATGCAAAAAAATACATGTAGATAAAGAGGACAGGACAACAAATGGTATGAGCTAGTGCAACATCGACTGCCAGACAGACCACCAAGCAGAGCAAATGATTGCAATACAAATCCCTGGAGACCTCTTGTGTGCTATAGCAGTGAGATGTGGTTGGCAGGACATTGTGTCTCTGTAGCGATATTATTATTCCCCATGGAGAAAGCTCAGCAATTGTCTCAACACTTAACAAGCCCAAAGACCTCAAGTGCAGTGTGACCAGAAAGAGCACTTTCGGTGTCTGTCCAAAGGTCATCACACATTAAAACTATGCCCTCATTATTTTGCACTTTTATTTTTTTTGCTTGTTGACTATGAAAGTTTACTGCCAGTCTGTGGTAAATGAATTAACTGGTGTATTCAGGCTGACGTGATGTAAGGTGATGTGAGTGAACTTTACTCTCTGGGTCTGTTGCTGAATAAACATGAGACTTTCTAGCATGCATCACCCAGCAGATTCACTGAAGTTACACTGTCATGTCATGTTAGAAAGACAGGGCTGTTAAGCAGAGGCTGAGAATTCACAACCAGAGTAGAGACACACAACCAAGTGATGTCTCAGAGGAAGGAAACACCCACTTTTATATCACCACTGAAAGTGGTAAATTATATGAATTGATACTCTTGAATATGTTCACAGTACTGTGTTACAAACCTAACAGCAGTATGTCTGGGTTATTCAGAGCAGAGAACAATATGCACATTAGGGAAATCATATAATTAAATCTTAAAACTTCATTCAACAATGTAAAGTTGAGAGTTCCCCTGTGATTAAAAGTTATTCCAATTACCAATCATGTTAGCTTCGTAAAGCTCATCCAATTGAAAGCCTATGAAGTTTAGACACATGGATTAGGCTGCACTATAGAGAGAGGATAGCCTGTGTTAGCATTTGAACTTAAGCATTGTGTAGGTTACAATACACCTGTAGTCCATTCATTCAACGGATTCGTTAATTCACTCAACCCACCGCTCAAAACTGTTTATTCTAGAACGACTCTGACACTCTTGAATCATCACCCAACTGATTTGTTTAACACACTGATTCATTCAGGAAATAATCAATCTATATATATTTATTGATTCTGAACTGAATGAAACACAAGTTGTGTGCCAAATGATGCACTATACTTGCACTTACAGGCCTACTATGCATTATATACCCCTGTCTGTGTATGAACATTAAAAGGTTATTTTGTCATAAAATCAGAGTCTGACAGCACATTTTACTTTGGAATTATCAGTGTGAACACACAACTCACACTATTTATACTAAAGTGGCATAGAATAGTGTATTAAGCTGGTGAATTGGACACAACTGCCACTATGCTGTGCTGCTTTGATACACAATGCAGTAATTTGATTGGACTTTATTTGGAACTATTTTTGTTAAGGTTAAGGAAACTAAATGGAACAAAGTATCTGGCAGCACTAGAAATGTCATTTAGTGTTTATTGAACTGTTGTAAAAAGCTAAACTTATTGGTTTGAATATCAACACGGCATCGTTTTGCAATGTCTTATTTACAAGACAGGAGAATACTTTGCAAATGGTAAACTAACTTTTTAAATGTTAAACTACAATGTAATTTTGTGGCAAAAACATGGAAATAATTTGCCTTTTTAAATCCTATTGTTTAATATATTTATTTGCTCTGTTATTGTCTTTGCGGTTTTGGGTTATCTTCCTGTTGTATAAGGGCCTTTGAAATTAATTAAATAATTTAGCGAAGTGAGATGGACATGTCGACACTATGGACACTATGTCGAAGCAGAATGTCCGATGACCACGTGGAGCAAGTCCTCTTCAGTGCATCTGTTAGTTTACCATCTGTTAAACTAACTTAAGAATAACAGACATTAGTCAGGGCAGACAGCATATTGCATTTGACACAAGCGGAAATAAGGTTTTGAGGGACAGATAAGAGTCAGTATTTTGTACTGTTATGTATCGACTGTTCAGTTGGAGAAATATCTAAAATGTGTTTCTGCACATTTCCAGTAAACAAGAAACAGAAAGCGGTCAAGCCATCCATCACGCCATCTACGCTTAAAAATACATTGCGCGTCTACATAGCTTTGCATGGTAGGCTAAAGGTGTGGACACCTAATTGGTAGATTCAAGTGTCCATCTACATTTCTAACCAACTGACACTCAAAAAACCTCATCACCTTTTGCACATTTCTGGTTCTCATTCAGTAGACATCGGAGACACATAAAAAAAATATATATATATATATATATACTGTATATGGCGTGACTGCAGTGATTTGTTGGCGCTTCAGTTTTGTGTTTGTGTAACGGTACAGTGATGCCTTTACCCACATGTCAAAGTACATATAAAGACCTCTCTTTGTTGATCTGAGCTGTTTTGTTTCAGGTTTAAGAGTGAAACTGATTGCTGGGGTTTTTACTTTTCTTTATCATATTGTGGATTTATTAAATCCTTCTGCCCTG